TATCAACAGCCCAATTTTGATTGACTGTGGCCTCATTTAGAATTACCTGGTTTGTCCATACAGCATTGTCAATGCTTTCAGCAAATCGTCTGGCCTGAAAATCAGAAATTTAAACAAAAGTAAGGAAAAGTCTATAACCTCTAGTTCTTCACCCCAGTATTAACAATTGCATTCCTTTAAATGTCAAAGGTGTTTCTCATCTCACTTAGGTTACATGTCTAGCAGATAAAACAGAGCTAAAGCTATACTCCCAGTGGTTCTCTTGGCAAATTCATGTTAAAAATTTCTGACATGCATTCTAAGACTTGTCATGTGCATTTATTCAGTAAGTTGTCATCACCCTGCTACTTGGGTTGCAAACAAGCCTTTTTTGTGGGACCCATAAAGCCCAGTGCATGCTCTTATTGAAAAACATTAGGCAAAAATTCCCCTTATACAAGGACTCTATGCAATGGCATGAGCAGGGAGGGATAAAGCTATATTGCCTAGAGAAGATGCAAGCTAAAAGAAAGGAAAAAAAAAGAGCGAGGATTATATGATAAAATGTTATGGACCAAGTTTAAGGTTGAGTTAGATTGTAAGATACTTTGTTCTCAGTTATGACAGGCAGACTTTGCTGTGCTCAGACCCTAAGCTATGAGCAAGACCCAAATATTTTCCCATCCCACTGCCATCTACTCTCAAATAGACAACAGCTATATAGTATGTAAAAGCTAATTATTTAAAACTGGATAATGCAATTCTAAAGTTTTCATTGGCTCAGCCATCATGGATTATGAGCTGTTATATCATGCTTTAATAATACATTCTTACAAAATAAAGTTGGAAATATTTATCTAATAATATTTTGGAGCGTTTTTTGATAAAACATTTATCCATTCATGCCTGTTGGATATGGGATGATTAGAGCCAACTCAGCCTTACAGGCCTCATTGGTTATTTATCATCACATATCCAATGTGTGCTTGTGGAATAATTGTTTGATAAGGAGAAATGATCACCTGATGGTTGTAGTTCATAGGGTCATCAAATGGAACAGCAGGCACAGGATGTACATCAGCACCTAATGTCTTCAATACATCTATCTTTTCCTTAAAAAAAATGCAAATATTTTTGTTTTAATGTACAAATTCCCAATGGCAGATAGAAAAAAGTGAATGTTAAAATAATAAAAGCAATTCTCAGCTAAAATTAGCTCTTCATAATACCATGAGTCATTTCCTAGTAAAAAGGATACTTTTGAATTCCAACAATGAAGGTTAATCATCACGACAATTTCTTAAACCTTAACTCCCAAGTGTAGCCATGAAAGAATTTCTTCTTTCAATATCAAAAAAATATCTAACAGACAAGTGAAGAAAAATATCATGTAGTAAAAGGATTAATATGCCCTGGTATTCATAACTAAAACAAAGCTCTGTTGACACCCACCTGTGACTGCGTATTTGGCATGTAAATAACACACTTGTAACCCTTGGCAAGACAAATGTGTGCAAGTCCTATACCTAAAATAAACCCAATGATTATTCTGACACAACAACTTATTGCACTCTTTGACAAAATAATCATAACATAACAAATCAAAACAATTGATAATTCCATACAAACCTGTATTTCCAGCTGTTCCTTCGACTACAGTTCCACCAGGTCTTATCAAACCTAGAGACAAATAGAAAATAATGAAAATTTTCAGATTCTGGTAGCCTACCTGTTTCCCAAACTTCCCAAGCAACTAGCTGTACAACCAGAAAAAAGTATTCCTTAACTTATCATTGTTGAACAGAAAAATCACAGCCATTAACTCTTTAACACCAAAGAGTGACTACTGCCTCTTATTTCTCACTACATTATACCCTTGAATAAAAAGTATAGGTCATGAAAATAAAACAAATGATCGCTCATTTAAGAGGCTCCTTATTGTTAAACAAATTCTCCTTGTCAGTACTATAGGAAATGTTAAGAGAACAGAATGGAGAATATGAACACCAATGATGGAGTGTAAAGGGTTCATAAGGCCTAAAACAAATCCACAGATCCTTATGCTGACGTGATTTGTGGATTAATGAGCTGTTGCAACCACTAGGGCCATTGAGACAGTTTCTTTTTTTTTTTTTTTTTTTTTTTGGGGGGGGGGGGGGCACTTTTCTCTCAAAATGCTTCTTTCAACCCAAGGGTAAATATGGAATACCCATCCAACAAACTATCACAGCAACCTAAAAAAATGCCAGCGGAGGGGGGAACTGTCATAGGCCAGCATTCCATCCCAGAAGGGTCTAGGCTTCTTCATGTCAAAGGAAACTGAAGGAACTCCAGTTACAGTGATGAGTTACTAGGCCTGTAAGAATTAGCCCCCATTATGATGAAAAATGTCAACAAAAGGTAATACAAACCCTTTTCCTCTGCTTCCTTAATAAGGTACAGTGCAGCACGATCTTTCACAGAGCCACCGGGGTTAAGTTGTTCAGCTTTAGCAGTGATATCACATCCTGAACAACAAATCAGAAAAGCCCTTTGACACTAAGACTGACTAGCATCTAATTTCTCCTTACAAAATCAGCACTGGAACAAACATGGAGGTTGCAAGAATAAAGAAAACAATCACCAACTGAAAAAGCTCTTGATTGTTACACAAATTCTCCTTGTCAGCACCTCAGGAAAAGTACAGAGCCAAGTACAGAGGACAGTGTGACTAGAATCTAATTTCTCCTTATAAAATCAGCACTGAACAAACATGGAGGTGCATAAAGAAAACTGAAAAAGCTAAGTTAGGAAAAGTGAGGACAGTGTGGGGAAGGTTAAAAAGCATTGGAAATAAGAGTAACGACAAACTGTAGAGAAGCTAACCTTCCTGTACCCAGTATTCTACTTTTTCTTGGGAAAGATCCAACAAACATCCTAAACTTTCCCACTGCACTTTTTCTACATGATTTTTTTTCTCAAATATTGGACACCATGCAACATCTCTGCTCCCCCTCCCCTCCCATCCCAGAGATTACAACAACAATCCTTGAGATGAGCATCCATTTTTCTGAGAAGAAAATTAAGCAGACAAATTATATAATTTATTTTAATGCTCACCTGTTTTCTCACTGAGCTTGTTAAATCTTATCAGAGGAGTGCTACCAGCAAAGAAAAAAATTTGGTAATGAGCTTCAATAAAATAATGTTTTAGAGCTGTATAAATAAAACTGGAAAACAAGTTTATTTCAGGCTTACTTGCCAACCATTCCAATAAAGCCATGGCGTAACTCCTTTAAAAAAAAAAATTATGAAAAAGCTGTAAAATTCGTGTTGTATTTATCTCAAGGATAATTTAAGTAAATTGATTATAAAACCCAAAAATTGTTTGTTGGTCATCCCTTTACCTTCCATGAGATCACAATGACGTAGAAAATGCATTCATGTCATGAACAAAGGGGGTAGGTTTCTAAAGAAGTTGGAAGGCTCCAAGTTCCCTTTTTCAAAAAGTTGCCTTTAGGTGAATGGCCACCTTAGAAAACAATATGGTCACAAAAAAAATTTTTCTTAAGATGGCAATTGTACATTTGATAATTTGACCAAACATTAACAGATTTCTCAATTTTTTTTTTTCCTTTTCAAATCTGTTGGTTGTCAATTGGTGACTTGTGCTGAAATTTCAGTTGCCAAACATATTTTCTACCTGCCATGGTGACCAAAATGGTAGCAACTTGGAGTGCTGAGCTGTGGTATTGCATCAGTGATAGGTATTACAAGATAATTTGGTTTAATCAACAGAGTTTCTAAAGCTGATGTTTCAAGATTTAGCCTTCGTCAGAGCAAATGGCCAGAGTTGAGTTGTCACAGTAATAAAAGAAAAAGGGAATAAAGGGGGTGAGTTTCTGAAAAACTGTAGTGCTGATGAAGGGTCAACACTTGAAACATCAGTTTTAGAAACTCACTAGGGTGGACAATTAACATTACAAACTCAATCATTCACATTATGGTTTTCAACATGACCTAATTTAAGGGCTAAGTCATTTTACTTTCTCAACATCCCCCTCTATCCAAGAGCAGAGTATAAATGGGTGCAAATTATTGGAAAAATCTTAAAAAATACTAGGAGAACCCTGTAATGGACTGGAATCCAATACAGAACATAAAAAGTGTATCCTTAGTGCATTCACACTGTGCAACCAGGAATAAGAATTATCTCCCCACCCTACCCCCCTACCCCCCACCTCCTCTCCAACTTGAACTGTCCTGGCATGGGACATTCAGTGGAAGATTACATGCATGTTGGAGTTAAGTAAGAATCAAAGAATCACTCAATGCTGCAATGTATAGTTGCAAAAAATATATCTCCTAATTTTGATTGTAATGCTCCATTTTACTCTAAAATTGGCTCCTGATTTAATTGTCCGTTCACTTCAATGTTTTGGTTATAAAGTGGATGTTTTTCCTAAATTCATGCAAGGTGAGTCAACTAAAAAAATTTGATTATTTAGAGGAACAATTTTAATTCAATAAATTGCTCTTTTGAAGAAAAGTTCGATCTGTTTATTGAGCAATATTCATCTCCAGGGCTTCCCTACTCGGATCAAATCGCGGATAAACTATTCAGGATTATCAATACATCATTTGGCTGACGCCGAAGACAGTCCTTCATTGTCTCTATACTTACCTTAGAGAAATTTCTAACTCTCAAGTTTGCCAAAGAACGAAATTTCAAAAGTCTACAATTTTGCGCAATCCTAGCGGCCATGTTGGAAGAACCGCTGACTAATGATAATCGATCATTTATCGAATAATTATTCCCAGACTCTTACTTTTCAAATCTCCGTTTGCAGGCTAAAATTCTCTCGATACATGAATACTTCCTTAAAACAAATATATTAGCTTTAAAATCCATACTGGATGTATTTTTTGAGTAAAACTGACTGTAAAATAGAATATTTATTCTGGGTCGGAAATCGATGAATGATCGTTGCTAGGAACACCGCATAAGATGCGCCCGTGTGGGACCACGGGAGTTGCACTACAAATGTGATAAGTTTACTCCAAAGATCCGTCAATGATTTCTGAAAACAGATGGATTAACTGAGCAATTTAGAGGATTTTTGTACTCGAAAATGATTGTCAACGAGACATAGAGGCTTATTTTGTGGAGTTGCGAGGCACTCCAGCATGAACTGGACAAACTGCCTTCGCTATCAGTCCTGATATGTCGAGCCTGGGATCGTTCGTTGGTGGGCCCCTGGGAGAGGAAGACGTAGAAGAGCTACGCTCCGAGCGTTCCATACGAGGACTCAAGGTCAATATTGCATTTATTTTTGAACAGAGAGATATGATATAGGCTCGTACTGTTCAATTATCACTAACGATCTTGGAAAATGTTCTCATTTTACCGCAGTCTCAAGAAGAAATCGAAAGACTGACTGTTGACGAGAGTCTTGATGACATTGAGCGGGCCGTGTTACTATTAAGGTGAGCTGAATAGAAACCTCAAATCACATACTTAACGCTCAATAATTTGGAAATTAATCATCGCTCAAAAATGCCTGAAGTTCTGAACATTCTGCGTTCAAGAACATCTCGAACCGTTCGTGAAATTGATCACGGAATTATGTGTAGATTTCACTCGTTTCCGTCACGTCTAATAAGCATGTTTGCTCATTTCGCTTGGTTTAATTATAACAATGACAATTTTTATTTTGTTTGTTGAATCATGGTTTCTTTTAGATGGATTAATGCCTTCCTTGAATTCGAAAGCTGAGCTTAATTTAGTTACTTTTTCAAGTGCTACCGTCAGAGTACAAAAACGTGGCGTTGGCAAAGGCCAATGTGCGCTAATGTGATTTCAAACGAGCGGTGAGATGTCAGGTATTATTAACTTTATTTTCGATGAATCACAAGTGGACCATAAAGCTCACAAACCATTAAATAGCTTGGAAATTAATAATGGATTTAGACTGCGGTGTACGTTTTGTCTGAGGGTGTGTGTACACTAAGAAAGGCTAGTATTAGCCGTCAGCAAACATGTCTGAAAAGTTTGTGTGACTTTTGAAGAGGCAAATCTATTTGACTGTTTGCATGTTGCGATTCAAATGAACATTTCAGTTCTCTATGGCCTTTGTCGCGCTTACGTTTACTGCATTTTAAAGTCCATTGGTTTCGTAGAGTAACTTATAATCTGAACTTTTTAAATACTTGGACAAGGGAGAAGTGTGGATTTGTGCTGTTAAGAATTCAGCAACGTCCTTGAAAAATATGTGGCGTAATCGAAACTAGATGAAGTAAAATTTGAAAGAGGTCAGGTCAAAATGTGTTTTTCACGTGTAGCAGATGACTTTTTGGAAGCTGATGGAAATGTGAATTGCAACAAATATCTTGAAATTTCATCTAAAGGAAAGGAAACAATGTTTTGCAAAGCCTACTCTTCTGCCTGTCCTAGATATTGTGACTTCTAGCAAATATTGTACACTAGTAATTTATATTTTGTCACTTGCGTGTGGTATCAATATAGTAGATCCGCTGATGGACTGTTTGTGTTGTATCTCGTGGTCATTAAAACTTGCTTTGAATTAAAATAAACTTTTCATGCATGTATTTAATCAAGAAAACTTTTAAATCTTCTCACATGAATCCTATTAATATTTTTATAAAGCCTCTATCTCTGGATGATCCAGGATAGAATTTTATCTAACCCAATATCTGGGCATGTTTTTGAATTTGTTGTTATTTTGGACCAGGTGAATCTTTGCACAAAAGCTTGAATGTGTTATTGTGTTATTTGGTGGTTCCTGTTAAAATTGCCTCTTATACAATCAATAAGTGTTGAAATTTTCATGATCTCCTGTGGAAAATATGAATAAATACTACACAGACATCCTAAGCAGGAAGTTCTATCATTGTTCGTAACTTGACCCCGTATCTCTCCTCATTTATCAGCTCTTTGTTTCTTGAAGCGTGGTTTTATAATTAGATGCATGTGCTTTGTTGATTTGTCGGCTTGAGGGATCTATAAAGGCCCTGAAGATTACACACACAGTTGACATGTTTTTCAGTTGTTATTACACATATTTAATTAGTTCACAAAATTGCCTTGTCATGCTACTCTACATGCAGGCATTGTGCGTAGCATGGAAAACTACAATGATTACAGGAAATTCCCTGATATTGAATATGGATGTTAGTCAATTAGAATCTTGTCATACACAAACTGGTCTATCAGAATTTTAAAAAAAATACAATCATTTAACATTCAGGTAAATCTGCCAATAATATGAAATTCAGTTTACACCTTATGTTCTCCTATAAATTTTCCAAAATCAATTGACTTAACAACACTTGTTGAGAGTACAATATTATCAATTTTAATTGTTACTGTGTTACATAATGCATAATAACAAAACTAAAAAGGAAGGCTATCCAGCTCACTATGTTTAGGCGAAGTAATCTTGCTAATAAAAACAACATTATTATTTACAGTTCTGGAGTGGAAATTCAAAAGCTCAGTGTCATTAATAACTTAACCAAACTTCTAGAGAAGAACAGTGCTGATGTTAACAGAAGAGTGGTACCAGTTCTTAGGGTGAGTCACATGATCATTTATGTGGTGAAAAAAAAACCTTGTATTGAAGAGACTAGGATATCAAAGATATAAATTTGAAAAACAGAGCCCAGTTTTTTTCAGAATTGGATTTGTGAAAATCAAACATATTCATATGTGTTGTACCACAGAAATAAGGATAGTGACCCATATTTTTCACACCATTTTGTTGTCCATTTTGACCTATTACAACCACAAAATCTGTAGCAAATTCTAATTTTGAGGAAACAGACCAATCCTTTCACCCCCAAGAGTGACTGGAATCCAAAACTAAATGAAACATTAAGGTCACAAGTCAACTGATGAAGCTTGTGATCATTAAAAAGTTTCTCCTTAGCAGTACCACAAGAAAAGGTAAAAGGACAGTATGGAGAATCTTCATACTGATGTTAGGGTGTAAAGGGTTTACCATACTTTTGCAGGAGTACCTGTACATTGCTCCCCTCCATGTTCAGCTTGAAGCTACCAAGTCTTTTTCAAGCATCATTCAAAATGGAACAATACCAGCATACATGTTTTCTTCATCATTTCTGCCAATCATACTGCACAATATTGACAACAGAGACAACGGTGAGTGCAAACATTAAGTCAGTTGTGCTTTGGTTCTGTGTAAACTATGCTTAGTGCTCCAGGTTGGAGCTTGCAGTACCTTAGTCTTTAGAGGAGCTGGTGATCTACTGATCCTATAGAAGGGCTTGAAATAGATGTTACTTAAACAACACTTGTTGAAGTATCAGTGTAATAGGGATTGTGAAGCAGTGTGAATATCGAGGAGTATCAACATTCCAGATTACAATCAGAATTTTTAAGGAAGCTATGAGGGTGATGGCAAAGAGAAAATAGCAAAATTAAAGATTTAATGAACTGAACAACAGCTCAGCACATTGCTTGGTCATCCTATGTCAAAAAAGGTGGAATCACCAAGTTTTGAGCATTCTAAGAACAGGAACCTGGGGGACTATTCAATTAAAATGTCTCAGGTATTCCAGGAAGCTCAGACAAACCTTTGATAGAATTCTGAACATGCAATTGATGTACACATATAAACATGTTACTTGTTAAGTATTCATTCGATTTCACTCATAACCGGGTACATATTTTTCCTACAGTGGTTGGATCAATGTACATTTTTCCACCAGCACCTATGCTAAATTGGGGGGGGGGGGAGAAACTTACCTTAGGTAACTGACTGGCTGGTGCTTTTGGCCAGCTATTGGCTGTTATTGACAGTTTTGCTCTTGATGTATGACTATGACCCTCATGAAATCATACATGAATCATTTTATTGCAGTGGTGGCAAATTCATGGCTTGAAACCCTCCTGACATCAATTGATTTCCTTCCAAAAGATGTTATAAAAAGAGAGGTAGATGCTTATTTATTAATAAAATCTCTTTCACCTTTGATAATACTTTGGTATTTTTAAACCTGCATTACTATGTCCAGTGTCACTTTCAAGAAATGAAGCAAGTGCATCACAAGGGTCTATTTCATATAAATAAGGCACCTCACTCTACAAATAAATTGAAAGATGGCACAGAAGCTTTCCTTGGAATAAGCACCATAAAAATCAAAACGTACTAAATTGTAATATTCCAGGAATGATGATGAAGATTCAGGGTTGTTACTATTCTCTTAAGATAGTTGACCCTCAAAACAAGTGTTACAAAAAGCCGCCAAACTGAAAAGTAACAAGGGTCATTAATTATAAAAATTTATGGTCATAGAGAAACAGAAAGAGCTCCTGAAATTTTATGGTTGATATTTTCTGGAAGAGGACAGCTTCTTATATGAATAAACAGTGAAAAGAACAAATTAGTTTTTAAGTTACAAATGCATCAATTTATTTGCAGGTCCTTGGTATTGCCATCTCCAAGGGTCAACTCTCTCAATCAGTTAATTGTAGACTTGCAAGTTGCAAGCTTCTTGGACAAATTGCACCAAAGTTTGAAACTTACTGGTAAGGTCTGACTCTTTAACTCTGTGATGCAAACTTTTTCTTTAACCTTTTAAGGAAAAAGTTATTCCATAAAGAAGAAGTACAGTATGATCTAAGAACCATGTAAATTTTAGCTCTGAAGTTCTAAAATGTGTATAAAAATTGTAACTTTCTGCAGGGTTAGTAAACCATTTGAAAATTCTTTAGATGAGCTAAAAATTTGACTTTGGAAATCACAATTTCAAAACAGCCTGCAGAACACAGTTTCGAAACCCTGATACATGGTTCATAAATATTGTTTTGTTGCAGGATAAAGAAGGAGTTAATGTCTTTGGTAGCATCACTATGTCAAGATGTTGATTATGAGGTCAGAGCTTGTATGTGTCAACAGCTGGAAAGTATAGCAAGAGCTCTAGGGTAAGGTGCCATCATTTTGTAGTTGTTTGTTGTCCTATTTAAATCCATCCTCTAGGTGGAGGCCACAGAGCATCCTGAAAGGGGGGAGAAGAGTGCTCATTGTACTCTAAGCTGGGAAAAATACCCCAAATTGTCCTTGAAAATTTTTTTCACACTTACAAGCCTCTTTACAATTTAAATAATCTCTAGTGTGTTGGTCTTTGATTTGTGACAAATCCCCCCTCAGTCCCACAGCTTTCAATTTTTGGTGTCATCCCCCTTCACCACATCAGAGATGCACTCACCCGCATCTGTGTGCCACTTTATTTGTTCTTACCACATTTTGCCATCATCTGTGGTCTGTTACTGAACAGCCATACAGCAACATGGAATCTATTTGAATGTGAAAGTTTTGAAAATATTGGATATTAAAAATTTTTATGTCACCACAGGTTGGAAAGCACACAAAGCATTATCATACCAGAGCTGGTTGAGCTTACAAATGATGAGGAAACTAGTGTGAGACTTGCAGGACTGGAAACAATCACAAACCTTCTTAATCTTCTTGATGATGGTAGGAATTTAAATAAATTGCTGTTTTATTATAGAGTTGTAGGTACCTCTCAGTGTAACATTTTCTACATCTGAGGGAGACCCTGAACTGACAGAAATAAAATTTAGAATCACCTTGTATAACATACAGTAGTAAACACAGGTTTCAATAGCGTTTTCTGCTTTCAACTCGTGGCTTTTTCAAACCTGAAAGTTCTTCATTTTACTCAACAATCTAACACAAACGAAACTTATAGCACTGAATAACAAAGGAACTTGATTCATGCGTTTTTTCAGCCGTGTGTGCAAAAAAATCATATATGCTTATCTGACTACCCTGCATCTGAGCCTATCAAATGCGTCCGTGCAGTTAACATATATGTGAATGGTACTGTAATAAACACAGGGGTTTCAATAACCTTTCCATAACCAGCTGCTGAGGATGTAACAGTTGACTGTGCCATAAGGTAAAACACAAGAGCTTCCTCTTGGCTGAACAAGCAGCCATGAGAGGTCTTAAGGAAGTGGTGGACAAATAATTGACAATAACATGAAAGTACTACTCAATAGCTTTCAACTGAATGGTCGCACACCATGGTTTCATCAAAAGTTGTAACATGTGGAACTACCTTGAACAGCATAATTAACAGCTCTGCAGAAACAGACTGCCCAGGTTTTAACCTTAGAAATACCCCCTCTTTACAGAAATAACAAAATTTTTGGGTCAAGAATTTACTTAAAAGCAATAAATATTTGACTAGTGTAGTGTACAAATAAAGTTGTTGTTGTTGTTGTTGTTGTGTTGTTGTGTAGTTTCTAAGCCATGAAATGTTATATTTTTACAGATACTTGCACATCAGTCATCATTCCTTTGGTCCAAAAGTTCTGTGATGAAATTCCCAAGCAGTGTTCAGAGTCTCTCCTCACAGTGGCACAGTTGTTTGGAAAACTTTCCCATGGGTTATCAAGTAAGTAAACATTTTATCCAGTAACCACTTATTGAGCTCTTGAAAAAAGTGTTGAGGCTGTGTGCTTTGGTTATAAGGGTCCTGGCTCAAGGCATGGCCAGTTAATTCTGTGGTCTTCTTAGGCAAGAAAGTTGGTCTAGCTTTGACCCTCTCCACCCAGTGGTGTGAAAAGGTAGCAGATAACTGTTTAGGGTACTTGAAAAATTTATGGGGGGGAGGGGGTGAGGGTGGTTAGTGCATTAAATTTGCATCCCATTCAAGAAGAGGAGAATGGTAATATTCCTTGTCATCTCAAGTTATGGCAACCAGGAAATCTTTGGCTTTAACAGAGGGTGAGGCTAGACAGTTTTGACCATTTTTTTTTTCTGTTGACCTCAGTTAACCTTAGTGAGACTAAAAGGAAGTGGTTCTTGGAGTTTTACAAAAAGATGTGCTACTGTGGCAATCCAAACAAAAATAACAGAGTAGGAAGTGTGACACTGGCACTCCAGGTAAGTAAATCCCTATAGATTCCTTTTTGGTTTTAGGTGTCGAAAGAAAATTAATTTTGGGGTTTGTTTTGGTATTTTAAAAAATTACCTTGTGGCAGTGTTTGGAAAACAGGTGGAACTTGTATTACACTGGAACCCATTAGGCTTTCACTGATGTCAGCTCGGTGCAGCTTCTGGACAGTTGAGCAACAGGAATTTGTCATTGCTACAATAAATATAGAATTGTTTGTTTAGTTCCACCTATTGTGGTAGGCGCCTCTAGGTTTCCTGGTACAAAGACTCCTTAATGAGGAACAAATGACTTGGTGAATGCCTTGCTCCCAACATTTGACTTTGCGGTTCAGTTCAAAGTAGTGCCCATTTAGGAACTGTTCACCTACCCCTCCCCAAACCCAAAATTAACCCTAACTTGTTATCAGTTTACTGTTATTGGCTTAGGGGAGGGGTAGGTATTCAGTTGCACAGATACCAACTCTGATCCATGGGAGCCATTCATTCAATCCATTTTGAAATCTGGATTTTTTCTGAACTCTTTCTCTGGAGTTACAGTAATTGCAATCAACCTATTAAGATCAATTAATCATTTGTGCCAAGTAGATTCAGTTACTACCTTTCCTTGTGTGTGCCATTCCAGAGTGCATCCAGTATTGCTCCTGACCAGTACCTTTAAAAGGGTATTAAAATCCTCTTTCTGTTATTTCAGAGCTCTGTTTTATCTGGTGCTACTATTGAAGATGATCCAGAAGCTGAATGCCGAAGATGCTGCGCTTTTAACTTTCCGGTATGAGGATTGAATTGCATCTTAACCCGTTAACTCCCAGAGGCGATGAACATGTAACTTTTCCTTATAATTTGCATACACCATCTAGCAAACAAGTAATAAGAATACTTGAACCCATCTGATAGAAGTTTCTATCTTGATCTAACACAAAATTCTCATAACTAATTCACAAGGAAATGTGTAGCAGCTAGAGGGGAGAATAAATAATCAGATTTAGGAAGTTAAAGGGTTAAGTAACACTGACAGTTACCGTGACCAAACAATCAAGCTTCTGATTTATTATGTTGTTGAATTATTCAGACCCTCTTTTAACGTTTTAATCCCTGAGGGTGACTAGCATCTAATTTCTCCCTAAGATATCACTACTGAATCCCACAAAAAATGCTCATGAGAATTATGGAAGTGATTACAAACTTGAACAGCTCTTAATTTTTGACTAAATTCTCCTTGTCATTGCCTTAAGAAATGTATTAAGAACAGTATGGAGAATATGCATGTTGATGTTGGAGTGTAAAAGGTTAGAACTAGAATATGTTTATATTTCTTTACCTCCCAGGCCATGCTTCTGTTCTGTGGTGCAGCTGGTTTTCAGAGTGAGTTAGCTGCCACATTTCACTCGCTTGTGGAAGATCCTCATGCGCTGGTCAGACGAACTATAGCATGTGGATTTCATGAGGTAAAGAAAAAGTGAGACTTCTTTGGAAGTTGAAAACTGAGTGTGTAGTGCAGTTGGTAAGAAATCTCCCTTTCTCCCTGAAGCCCAGTGTAAAGCATCGAAGCGCGGAATCCGAAGGTCTGCGGTTTGAAGATTTGATTTTTAGTTACGAAAGAATGTTTCAAGAGTCGTACAGTTGAAAATTTATTGAAGAGAAATCCTTGTTTACCAAAAAATCTGACGTAAAAATCAAGTGAGAGACTTTATCCAACGTGTTTTCTTTTCCCTACTCCAGGTGGCGAAACTTTTAGGGACAAATGTTGGATCAATTCAACAAGATTTAAGTATATTATTAAAGGATGAATCTATAGAGGTGAGAGAGTGATGTCGTTGAAAAGCTCTTGACTTATTAAACGTAAAATTTTGTATATTGTTATTCTTATTACAGTGAATTTAATTTTTTTTCTAGGTATTAGAAGGTCTTATCCCAAGTTTACCACAAAGTTTAGAATGTTTAGCTAGCGGAGGACATTCGACTCTTGCAGATACCAAGGTAAATGATAACTATATGATACTGATATTTGTTCTATCGATATCAATGAAACACCAGAATTTCTTCTGTTTCTAACACAAGATGTATTCGTCGCACGATGTGAAAACATAAATTATAACTTCTCTTTTGAAAACAAAAATATTGTCAGCGCACTAGGGTTTATCAACATGGTGGTTTAATGTTCACTTTTAGGTTTATTTTTCTATAACAAAAGTTTACGATAGTTGAATTTAATTTTTCTTTCAGTGGTTATATGAACAAAACTTGTTTTATTTTTTGTCCGAAGTCGAAGTTAACGCAAGTTAAGTTTCGTGCAGAAGATCTCTGCATTTGGCGCTCCAGTAAAGTATTTTAATCCTCTTTGATGTAAATATCTCATTTATATCCATGCAACAAACAAAACATTACGTGTCCCCAAGAGATTATCTGCAGTTTATCTTATCTTGGTTTCTCCTTATGGTTTCAAATTTATATTCTCGCGTTGACAGTGCCTCATGAACAGAAATATGAAGACTGATGTACCGCACTGAAATCATCTAAAGATTTTCTCTCTTTTTTCAGCTCAATAATTTGTCAAACCTTATACCATCGCTGATCGCGTGTGAACTCGCTGTGGATTCTTCAAGTAACTGGCGCCTCCATGTACAACTATTAGAGAAGTTTTCATGTTTTCCCAAGTGTTTGACCTCAGATCAAATATACTACAAATTTGTGCCGCTGTTCTTCAGATTATTATCGTCAAATGTAAGTTTTGTTGTTCAGTGTTACTTAGCTATGGTTTTGTTCAACCCCTTCAACCCTCTGAGTGACCAGCATCTAATTTCTCCTTAGAGTAATACGGCTGAATCATTCATCAAGATCATGAGAATAAAGAAAATGATCACCAACTCAACATTCTCTTGATTGTTAAACAAATTCTCCTTGTCAGCTTCTAAATGAAATGTATAGAGAACAGTGAGGAGAATATGGATACTGATGTTAGGGTGTAAAGGGTGCGCGTTTGTGTCGACATGCACTCATCTTCGTACATATTTTTTTATTTATCTGCATCTTCTTACTTTTTAAATGCATTTCTCTTTTTTTTTTCTTCTAGCGTGTTTTACCGGTCAAGTCAGCGGCTGCGCACACACTGTGTGTTTTCATACGATACAACAGAAGATTTGAGCAAAGACAAGAATTGTGTTGTAGACTTATACAAGGTAACGCTGTCAGAAAACTTATTCTCGCTCTTGAGCGCTCTTCATGTCGTGAGCCAATGTTTTCATCTGATTGGTTGAAAGAGTGACGTGAGTTTTCAAGACTATTCACAATCGCAGAGCGAGGGTAGAACAAAACCAATGAATTCCCGGAGTACTTCAATTGAAAATTGCGACCTCAGCGTCTCGGTTGTGCGTCATGTTACTGATTAAAGAAGTTTCTTAATAATTAAACCAACGCGCTTGGTCACCCGCGTTTTCCCGCGCTTTTGGCGGTTTTCTTGTTTTTACTTCGAGTTCTCATTGGCTCTTTGTGATATTTTTCTTTGTTCTGATTGGTTGTTGTGATAACTTTGGTTTTGTCCTAACGACACTCGATCGAAAAGCGCTCCAATGCTGCTGTGCACTTTTCCAAGTTTTAATTATTTTGTCTCTTCTTTTTTTTTTTAGAATGTGGAAGAGGAAAAAGCTACAGAAGTAGACTATTATTCATAGATATTTGCAAGTTTATAATGGAATTATTTTCGCGTCGATTTTTCAAGGAGAATTTCTTCGAATTTTTATTAGAATTGGGCTCGGTGAGTATTTAATATTTTTCTGTTGCACTTAGACCTTTCAGTAGCCTATTTCAGGCGTTCACTTTTTAAAATGGAGCTAAATGGTCAGGTCGCGTAAAGGAAGGAGATTTGGGACGGGTCACCAATATTCCCTCCTTAACACGACCCGACCCAAACCTTTCCCACTGTGACAGGGTCAGATTGCGGGTCAGGTTGCGTTAAGGAGAGAGGTTAGGGACGGGTCACCAAAACTCCCTCTATTATGCGACCCGTTCCAAACCTCCCTCATTGTGATAGGGTCAGTTTACGTTAAGGAGGGAGGATTGGGTCGGGTTACTGATACCCCTTCCTAAACGCGACCCGACTCATACCTCCCTCCTTTTCACTGTTCCGTCACTAACGCATTGTTTACGCTTGGAACAGGTTAATCTTTCAGTAGTGTGGTGCTTTATTTTACTTTTCTGTGAAAAAACCTGTTTATTTGATTAATTTATTTCGAAAAGGACGCTGGTAACGATGTAGGTGATTTTCTCTGGAGACAGTAATTGCTTCGCTAAACTCTCTAAATTCCCTCTGCCATGCATTTGAATTAAACAGATCAAAAACAAAACCTTAATTTAAAAGTTGGAGCTTTGAACGTAGCAGTTCTTAAAACAAGCTTTGCAACATTCATCAACTTCTATGAAGAACTCGTATAGCTTAAGCGAAAACTAGGAATTTATTGCGTTTGAAACCCGGTTTCAAAGTAATATATCAGAACAGCGTTCTTTTGTAATGTTTCAAAACTCATCACTCTTTTTGTTTTGTAGGACCCTGTGTTAAATGTAAGATTAAAGTTCTGTACAGTTCCTCCGCGCCTTAAATCGTTGTTAAAGTTACCGTCAGACAGACATTTGTTACAACAACTGGAGCAGTGTATCAGAAATCTACTGAGTAATGAAAAGGAGCCTGATGTTTGCAATGCAGTCAGAGAGGTATGGTCTTATCGTTACTCTCAGGATCTAATTGTTAATTCTCCCCTCAAGCTCTTACACATTCCTTGCAAATTAGTTGCAAGAATTTGGTGTTAGATCAAGATAAAAACCTCTACCTGATACATTTGAGTATTCTCATTACCTGTTTGCTGGATAGTGGATGGATATTGTAGGGAGAAGTTACATGTGAATTACTTCTGGGAGTTAAAGGGTTAAGCATTTTGTTATTTTTTTGTAAGCAAGTTGAGTTAAGTTATTCTCAATACTTGATTAGGATTAGACTAAATTAATTTACTACATGTATAGCGCCTCTGTTTATACGTAAAGTTAACTCATAGCTGTCTTGTTCTCTGCTTGAGAACATTCTCAAAGTTAAGCTGTAAAGCGCTTCTATTTGCATGTCTAAAGTTAACCTCGTTGTCAATTTGTTCTTTACTTCAAGGCGTTCATGAAGTTGGATAAAACAAAGTACGAAGATGACAAGATAGATCAACAGAAGGAGGAGGAAGAAAGACTTTTAATAGTCATGGTAAATAATTATCTCTATAATGAAATTATTTTCTTTTGTGTCCTGCATTGTATCGATTCGCAGAGGAAGATGCCAGTAATCCCAGTTTGATCATGGGTTCAAATTACAGCCCTCTACCAGCAGTCTACCGCCGCCTATGAGACCTTTTAGCCTCGTCTATCATTTTTATTTCTTTAAATATATATATATATAAACATATTTATCACCCTTTTCCCCAAAAGCACCCAGGCTTAACGAGAGGATTACGTCTGTTTAGCCTGCCAGCAGGGCTCGCGATAGGGTTTCGTCTCGCGGCCTCTTTTCGAGCACCACCACTTGTAATACCATCGCTCTGCTTATGGTAAAGGTTTTGAAATCCTTGTTTTATCGTCTGTAGGAGGAGAAAGAGAGAGAGGAACTTGCTGGGGCAAATAAGGTTTCGGATCCCAGAAAGAAAGGCAGCAAAGATGACAAGAGAAAAAGTAAGACCTTCCTTTAGAAACTGTGTCATAAGCGATCTCTAGATTGGTGAGAAAAACAAGCGCGCTTGACATGCTGTTTTGGCGGGAAAACTTGGCAGCCAGCGCCGTGCGAGAATGGTGCAGTGACAAGAGTCATGCGCTTTCACTTTTGGGCCTTTCTCCTCTCTGAAGGATTATGTTTCTCTGGATATCTGAAACCCCGGTATCTGAAATACGCTAAAGTTATTTCTCATTGTTTCCGCGACAACTTGTCTCTCAGAGTTTGAAATACATGACGAATATACAAACGACTGAAATACTTTCCGCTCAGTACGTTGAAATCGTATCAGATTATATCAAAGCTTCGCTCTGAATTCAACGTTTTATTTATTACTTCCCTCTTCTCCTTGGTAAATAAAACTTCTCTGTTGACATTTATCTCTGACGATTCTACAGTTGTTGCGGCGAAAGGGAAAGCAAGCAAGCCTGAAGGTCATCCATCACTCAAGCGTACGCCTTCTAACTCTGGATCCAGTAAGTAGACGAAAAACTCACAACAAATTACAATCAAATATAAGATGATGTCTTTCCTGTCTAAGAGTGCTTTGTGATTGGCCTTGAAAGTCGCGCCAACTTTTCAACCAATCAGGTGTAAATTTTAAAGCAATCGGGCGTTGGTCACCAGCGTTTTCCCGCGCTTCTGGAAGGTGGCCGTTCTCCGTACTTTTTCTCCCATTTTGCGTCACATAGTGAAGAATTGTTTGAAAGGTGATTGGCTAAGTCCAAACATGACCCATAATGATTGCTCTCAGTCTCACTGTCTTTGTTTCCTACTACTGTTTACAGCTTCAACTGGTGCGGCTAAAACAAGCCAGAAGACAGCACCACAAAGAAATCCTGGATCAAAGGGTTCACCGTCGTCTAGTCTTCAAAGACTTCCTAGCCTTTCGTCAGCCCTCCCCAGCACAACCGGATCAAGCACAAGTTCAACATCCGCCGGGGCTTGGAAAGGGTCTCCAAATGCAAGTGGTAACCCTTCAGCTCGCGGCGCTTCTCACGCCTCTACGAGTGGCGTGAAGACGGCGTCTAAAACTACTAAGGAAAAGACGTACGTTTATGAAAAAAAAAACTATATTAAACTCTAAACTTATTTTGAAAGAAGAAATTTTTTCTTTGCAAAAAAATTAATGAAAATGTTATGTTAATTTAACTCTGTAACCTAAAGGACTCAGCATTTCTACTTTTTCTTTTTGTAGGAGTGACAAAACTGCTGCTGGAAAAAGTAGAAAACCAATTTCAGTTAGTTCCTCAAATTCCAGTCGAGGAGGTTTTTGATAAGAGGTCGGTGCAGTGTTTGATGACCTGCGACAGTACGGGCCGTCATACGTAAAGTATTAATATGACAACTCAATCCAGTGGACTAGAGAAGGTGTATGAGGCGACCAACGTGAGGAGATTCCAACAGAAGGAAAAGGCATGTCAATTTTAGGGTTTTCACTTACAATCGCGAATGTTGCGTGACAGCAGAGAGCGTGAATGTCACACAATTTACCAGTTTACTGCTTTGAACCGAAATATGGCATTGCCGGTTATTTTAAAAGCTGTAGATGTATTTTTCGTACCGCATGGATTCAATAGTTACTACAACTTTTCGGACATTTAAAATCAAGCTTCTTTCTTGAAGCGTCTTAAACTCTAACAGATTATCTTTGGACAAGTATTTTGTTATCTGTCGAGTCATAATCTTTGTTCGAAAACTACGACACATTGTAAATAGTGTTCGAATTTCCTCTTCGTAATTCGCATATTTTACCAACACGCTGGTGACTTAAAATATCCTTTTAACTAGAGAATATTTAAAGTTGATCGTCAAATGGTAAACTTGATCGGTGAGTCATATAAACGTAAGTTAAGGAAAGTGAGTATAGTGATCTCACATTTTAGAATAAACCCTTCTTTAAAGTTATGATAATAAAAATATGTGCTTAAGACTTTTATTTTTGTTCATTAAGAGTTGGTTCGATCAGGCGCCCAACCTCAAATGAGCACCCACCCTGTAAGTACAAAAATTTAATAATTGTTCAAACCCGCCCCCCCCCCCTCTAAAAAAAATACAAACAAACAAACAAACCGAAGTGCACAAAAGGAATCACTGTGGTACATATCTTCACTTCTTGTTATTATTTTTTTTACTTTTTGTTTTTCTTAAACAAGCTTTTCACTCGCTGGAATGGTGTACATTAAATGAGCGCCAGACTCAGATAAGAGCCGTCTTTCAAGGTCCAAAATTTGAAATTAGCGCCCAGGAGCTTGAAGGAATGAATATGGTATTTTAATGTCCACCTAGCCCATAGAGCAGGTGTAATTTTGGTGAAAAAGTGCTCAGTATGTTCCTGGTGAAAACTAAGGCTGCCATCTTTGATTTTTTACACCAGCGGAAGGCTGAGGAGAGAAAGAAATTTGTACCAAAAGGGCAAGCAACGGTCAAATGGAAAGAGAGGGGAGGGGTGGAAAAATACAAAAATTACGCAGGCTAATCCCCAGCGGGTGAAATTATTCGAGAGAAAAGACAGCGTAAGTATTATTTCATGATGCTAAGAACTCATTTCTTTGTGAGTAGCTTCCTCGATAATTTCCCTACACTCCCTTACTTTGTGCATGTGTCAATAACTTGAAAACAAAAACCCTGTAAACTCGTTCTCGCTTCTCTCTGACAAAGCAAGTTTTGACGAAGTTTATCGATCTTTTAGAGGGAGCCATGATTCCCCGGCTTTAACTAAACGAAAACTCTGACCGTCACAAAATTTTTTAAAGATTTTTTAACAGTGAAAAAAATACTACAAGCGATCCGCTACCACTTTGAGCCAAGAAAAAAATAAGTGGATATAATTTTCGTGTTTGAACCCAATTTAGTCGGAGGTTTTGGAAAGGTGTTATAATTAATTATGTTTTTTGCGCATGATAAAACTTTTGGAAAGCTCTCGACCGGATAGGAAATATTTTTCTGGCATTTTCTTTTTACCAAAGTTTCATCACCTAAACTGAACCTGTCACTGTCAAATTGACACATTTTTAAGGGCAATATTGGAGCGATGAAAAGCCTTACGATTATTTTTGTTTCCCTGAGTTTCTCATACCTACGGAGAAAGTAATCCCAAAATTGATTATTTCGCTGCAACATGGAATTTTAAATGAAATATGTAAAACGAGATGGAGTTGTAAATTTCTCTCCTTATTAAAATGTGTAAATGACTCGATGCGATGCGCTAACTACTGGCTTGAACGATTCTATATCTGGTTGGTGTGTTGTCGCTGAACAATTAAAAAAGGCAGATGTTTGCTTTATAAATATTGTAACTCCATCAGCCCTTGCCAAAACTAATGAGAGCTTATTTATTCAAATTACTAAACCGTACGTGTCATAAAGAAACTTGATGATATATCTTACAAGAGAAACAAAAAAACGCATCGATACGCTATCAAGTTGAAGATAGGTGATGGCTCCTTAGGCTTTGATAAATTCATTTACGTACGAAAAACGCTTAACACTTAAATTACTGAGCCGGGTTTGAATCCAAAGACAAATACAGGTGTTTTCTTCACTACAGAACTATAAATTCGAATATTCCTCACAGCGAGGCAAGTAGAGTAAATTATGGCTGTTTCTTCGCACGACGAAAAATTTGAAAGCTTGTTGTCGACTTACTTGGAAAATGAAGGGAAAATATTGGACGAAATTACCGCCACAGAAATACAGAAACTTTATCACAACCTTCGACCTGAAAATTCAATAAGCCTGCGTCAAGTACAAGCGGCGATACAGGCAGTCTGTTTCTGCGACCTGTGTTTTAAGGAAGAAGTTTTGGACGTACTCAACGAAATTGACCGCCGCAGTTTTCTAATACGCGATGTGGAGTGGGAATTTGAAATGCTGGACCGCGAAAAGTGCGGCACAATTACTGAAGAACAAGCTTGTTTTCTGTTTAAAGCTTTGCAAGGAAAATCAGCAGCAAAAAAGTGCAAAGAGTTTTTGTCAGGCCGAGCGATGCCCGGCTCGCGTGTTGCTCTACAAGAAATTGAAGTACTTCTTTGTGATTCTCCCGAGACAGAGCTAACTGATGAAGAAAATTAAGTTGAGGATGATAATTATTAAAACAAGATAACGAATAATCTGGTTAAAACCAGGCATTATGTTTAACTACGCTTTACAGAGAGGATTACATCGAATAGATTATCATAATTACTGCGGTTTATATGCACTAATTAATTTTCTTTGACGACTTCGTAAACGGTGTGAGTTTGAGCTGCAGTCTCCTCTCGCGCTTAACCTTTCCCATTCCACCCCGGAAAAAGATGGTAAAACTTTCTGGCCTGACACTAAAAAATATATTTGGGAACAAAATGCTTCACGTTACACAGTGTTATTCACAAGTCTTAAAGTTTTTTTTTATTATTATTTTTTTTATCTGAAGTGCATATTAGTCAATACCTTCTATTGTTTTCCACTTTCTTTGACTTTTTTCAAACAGCCAATTCTAATCTCTCCTCTCTAGCTTGCTCACTGCCTTTTTATAGTTTTCTGGAGCGCAGGATCTTTTTTTGAGCATAGGAACCTAATTTTAACTCAGCCTCAATCATTTTTTTCTTGCCTAAAAACGTGGTTTGGAAATTTCCAGAGTATGCGCAAACATGCATTACTTTTTCAGGAGCCGCCATAGCGTTGCGTGACAGCGAGAGAGCCAGCAACTCGTCCCTGCAAAACCGAAAGTCACGTTTACTCAACGTTCTTTCAGCAGCTTCAGCACAGCTTCTCGTACACTCTGATGTATTCCCAGACCACCAAGCACTTCATACGGATTAGGATGGTGTTTAATTAGCCCAGAAAGCGCTTCTAAGTCTTGTTCAGACAACAAATTCTTCACCACTTTCTCTGATTCTTCTCTTAGCTTCGCCTCAGCCAAGTCTCTCTCTTTCCTCTTGGCCTCCACATCTCTCAAAGCAAATTCTGCTTCTAAAGCACCCATAACGTTGTATCGGTGAAGCTGCTTCGCTCTCCGTCTCTCCTCAGCATCAAAATACCAAATAGTTATAGCATACCTTGTGCTATAAGCGGGTAATACCTCGTGTGGATTGCGCTTATCCGACCAAAACATTAGCAATCTATTGAGAAATGGTTCCACATCAACATGGCCATCTTCTCTGTAAATCCTTAACTTACCCCCATTTTCCTCACCCCACCCCTGGTTAAGATAGTAGATGACGGTGAGACACCTCCCATCCCCGTCCGGATTGTCAACATGCCGTGAGTACCCCGTTCCGTTACCAGGGTAACATGCCACCATAGCCTTAGCACGTCCCTCAATGCGATACTCTTGTATCCCATCGGGAAGATTATTGCAATGTATCACTAATGTGTCCACAAAATCTATGAGTTTCACGATATTTGGCGCATGTTTTTCGTTGCCCTCTAACCAAGTAATTTTGTCCCCTCGAATCCTTTTCTCAGTGAATTTCTGCTCTTTATCGGAGGCCGTGTTACCACCGCTGAGTTGCCCGTCTTGAAAAACACCTGAGTTATGCAACTGTATCACCTCGTTAAAAATATCCAGTGCTTTCTCGTCCTCAAAAACGTTGTCGATGACGCTGAAATACGTTTCTTTCAAAGCGCTACATGCAAATCTTGCAATGCTTTCCAAATCTTTTCTGTCAGGCTGTGGAAACTTCGGTTTCTCCTTAGCTGGTATTGTTTTGAGAGGCGGTTTGCAATTTGGCTTGTGAGCTTTCCAGTGCGACTTTTGGCAATCCTTACTGCAGTAGACTACAGATCTACACCTAGAACACTTTGATAAATTTGTGTTTCCTGTAGAACAAAATGCACAACTTGAAGAAATGGATGCCATGTTTACTAGTGCCAAGCTACTGCTTTTCCTACAGCTGTTTTGTCCGAGGGAGAAAGGGGACTTGTGACGTATCGTTATCGTTATGTTAATAACCGCTGTACTCGAGAATAAACAAGGAACAAAAGATGGCGACCAGCACTACGTTGATATAAGTTCAAATTGGGCCCAATTTCGTGTTCTTGTGTCTGTTGACGATTTTAAAAAAAGGTACTGTTAGATACCTTATCTCTTCAAAATGGTTCTCGCGGATTTAGGACGAAAAATCACCACAGCGCTCCGCTCCTTGAGCAATGCAACCATCATCAATGAAGAGGTAAGAGAAACTACCTCGATGATGCACTCACATGTAATCACGAGATTCCTGTTCATTATTTAAGGCTCTCTATAGTGTTGGTAGTAGCAGCCAAAATTTCGGGCCTGAAGGCAGATTTTGACATAAGTCCTACTAATGTTTAGGACATAATCAGGACAAGAAATTGATAAAATCATCCCTGTCATCTGAATGGGATGTATTTTTTTGTTGGTGTGTTTAAGTTTGAAATTTTTGACAAATTAGAACCGAAAATCGAAAGTCACTTCTGTTTTAAGACAAAATAATATACAAAGTTGATTTGGGAAGTGAAACATTAAATCCTTAGCGTATACCTGCATCAGTTTGAATTTTTTTTCTTCACTTGTACCGGTCCAATTTTATGAAGGAGTAAATCACTCATGCATTAATTAGTATAAATAGATATTAAAGTTGCCGTGTTTTGGGTATAATGAGTTCATATGTTAACCTAGTTTTTACCACCAAAATTCTACTATCTTAACCCTTTCATACCTAAGATCTCAATAGCAATTTTCCCAAATATCTGCTACACATCTCTTATAATGTTAGTTCTAAGAATTTGGTATTGGATCAACAAATGATCCCCTAATCAATATTTTTAATTAGGAGAAATTCTGTTCTGGTCACTCATGGCAGTTAAAGGGTCAATGATTTTGGTGTGGATTTAACCCATTAAGTCCCACTAGTGACCCACACAGAATTTCTCCTTACACGATCAGTATAATATCAAGCAGACAAGTGATGAGAACAAAAAAAATAT